GGGCCGGGCCGGGCTGCGGGACCCAACGCAGGCCTCTAATCTGAATAGTATTAATTATATGTTTATATAATATATCTGTAGTTTAAAAGCTTTGTAACTATATTTTAACATTAATAACCTATTTTGAAAATATAAATAATATTGATATATGGTTTATTAAATATAACTTAACCTAACATAGACAAAATGCTAAATAATAACAAATATACTTTACTAAATTAGATAGAAAATAGTATAAAAAACTTACATATGTTTAGTGGTTTAAGTTACTGATTTAATTTTTAGTTGATCCAATGCATTGCCTGGCGGACCCCAAAAATGGGGAACGTCTTAGAGGTTGGAACCGGTTTTAAAAATTCGAGTTTATCACACCAAAATTCGAAGTCATCACATAAATCATTAATGATTGATATGATAAACTGAGTAGATTCTTTAAACGTAATATATTTTATTGAATTAACTTTAGGGTTTGATTGGCCCATGGTCATGTGATTCTACTCCGCTTTAAGCGACCCCAAAAATTGTAGTTACACAACGTAGATATAAGTGTAAAAATTGTTATTGAAATTTGAAAACGCGTCGAGAATGCCTGTTCAAGAAAATCCTATTGTTACATTATCAGCTGTCGTTCCGCAAATTTTTCAGGACTGTCAAAAATCTACGAGCAACCATCGGAAAAATGCTATAGCTCTTCGAAAAGTGCAAATGAAATGTTCATCGTATAGACCTACAAATAATGGATCGTCTAATCAACTAAATAATGAACAGGCCTTTAATACCGAATTTATCAGAAATTTGATCAAAATTTTACCCTTAAAGAAAGGACAATCCAATTCTGAGCGTGTAATAAAATTCGTAGCTTCTTTTGCTGCTTTTAGTTGTGAAAAAGGTTTTTATTTTTATGAAAAAAAAGTGTGATTATAAGAAAAACTTAAAATTTATCTTATCATTTCTTATTAATTTCTACATCAGACAAAGAGCTTCTAAGCAATCAAAATAATAATGCTGAAGAAGATTATGATGATTATGAAGATACATTATCTTCACGCTTTGCTGAATTCCTCATCCAATATTTACTTAAAGGCATTGAAGCCAAAGATAAAAATGTAAGATTACGCGTTTGCCATTTAATAGCATACCTTATTGGCTGTTTGGGATCAATCGAGTAAGTAAATGTGCTAAATTAGTATAGTATTCTACATAATATTTTAACATTTCTTTTTGAAATTCTATTATAATGTAAGCGACGATTTATATGAACGTTTAAAAGTTGAGTTAACTAAACGTTTACTCGATAAAGAAGCTGGTGTACGCGTAAAAGCAGTCCTCGCGTGTTCTAAGCTACAAGTATGTTCATTGTGTTAAATTTTTGATAATATCTATCCTAAGATTTTACTATATGTTTGTAAAACAAGGGTGATGACGATCATGGAAAAGACGTGATTGAAAAATTTATTGGAATGCTACGTAATGACCCAAGCTCGTAACTATATAAATATTGTTTCTTTTCTTTTCACTTAATATTATGTTGAAAACCAAGTGAATTTATTTGAAATTTCAGCGAAGTTCGACGTGCCGTTATATATAATATTGAATATAATGAGGAAACTCTAGCTCACATATTACAACGCGCACGGGATGTTGATCCAATGAACCGTCGAGGCGTTTATATGAAATTAACTGAAGAAATTAATGACTTTCGTGTTTTATCTATTGGGGATCGTGAAAAATTATTAAGCTGGGGTCTTACAGATAGGTTAATATTATATTCTGGTCCTGATCGATTTTATGAAATAAGGAATTTTACACATAACTGTATTTTATTATCAATAATACGCTATACAGAGATTCTCATGTTAAAAAAGCATGCGCGAGAATGCTCTCGACAAGTTGGATTCAACATGCGAACAACAACTTGTTGGAGGTATTATAATATTGATTATTCCAATGTTATAAATATTTAGTATAAATAGTTAACGTCCTTTTCCTTATTAGTTGCTTGAACGGTTAGATGTTGTGGGAAGTAGTATTGCCCAAGAGGTCCTTATATCAATATTCAATGCGCGCCCAGATATAGTGCAAATGTTAAATTTCGATGGTAATTTTGATCAAGGATATGTTTTACTAGAGCAAGTGTTGATTGATATTGATTGGTTTATTATTATTATTTCAATAACATTTAGATATATTTTGGGAAAATCTTACAGCCGAAGGAAGTTTTCTCGTACGCGTCTTTTGCGAATATAATAAGGAGGTCTGTGTGATATAATATTATTCTGTTTAGTATTTCTTTGTTTACTCATCACTTTGGTTTATTGAAATGTAGGACGAAGGAAAGCTTGATGAGATACTGCCGGAAGTGACGCGACTTGCTTTTTATATTCAGAGATACTATAATTTAATGAATCAAGCGTCAGACGAGGAGCAAGTAAACTTTGCGTTTATAGTTGGGCAATTATTTTTGTTGGCCAAATTATTGGACTACGGTGATGAAGTTGGACGAAGAAAAATGTGTTCACTCCTACGTAAGCCTTTTTGGGGGTAAATTCTACAATAGTCGACCAATATTAATTTATGCTTTGTCATTTAGGTGAAATGCTTATGTCATCGAGTATTTTAGAAAGCCATATTGAAAGCATTGTGGAGATAGAAAAAAAATTTTCCATTAATGAACGGGATTTCACACGGTATGTATCGTAATGTTTTCCGTGCCATTACAAACACTGACAATCATTATAATCATTATAAAATTTAGCTCCATGATTGAAATAATCACTGATATACGCGAAGGTATAGAAGACGACGAAGGTCCTTCACGACTTACATATCAGGCAAGAATTTGATAATTATTTTAGATTACAGATTTTTTATTAATATTGATTATCTTTCCGTTTAGGATGATTATGACCTATCAGCGAACATGTCTCGTCTTAGTATCAACATATCTTCCATGAAAATGTCTGTTTTATCTACTGATCTCAAAAAAACTGAAAGAAGGGGTTCCATTTCTTCTACGAGTATGAATGATAACGACATCCTTCAAGAAGATAATGAAATGAAAATAATATTGGTGAATTTGAAATGCCTGCATATAATACGTTGTATGCTTGAAAAGAATTCAGAGGTTTGCCACAATTCTGCACTATTTTGGTGTCATAATGGTGATAAAATGCATCCATACTCAAAATTTGTTTAGAGCCTACGGGATAACCCGTCGATGTATGGTCTTATGAACGAAATTATTATACCTAATATACAAAGTCATGAACCAGTGCTGCGAGAATTAGGCATACATTGTCTAGGTTTATGTTGTATACTTGATCAAGTAAGATAAATATACTGTTAATGTATTAATTTCATAAAAATTTTGTTATTAATTAACATATCTTTTATTAAGCCTCTGGCGATAGAAAATTATAATTTATTCATGCATTGTCTACGACATGGACATCCAGAATTGCAAGTTAAATCCTTGATGGTAATGTATAACAGCAGTCTATAACTTTGAAATCAAATTTAAAGTAACTTATTGACAAATTTACAGGTAATGTCAGATATTCTCATGACATATGGTTATTCAACAATAGTTTCAAGCACTCGACAGGTAAATTAGTTGTTAAAATAAATACCTAATATCGGCTGATTTATATTAAATTTTTTTTTTTTTTTAGGGTAATGAAGTTCTGGAATCGTTAAAAGAATGCTTAAAGAATGAAAATGAGGAAGTGCAAGCTATTGCAGTTGTAGGAATATCTAAATTAATGCTTTCTAAGATGTTGCGTGACAAAAATGTAAATGAATTTATGTTGTCATTTGTTTTATCGTTATGAACCCCGATAGATAAATTTACCAATTCATTTATACAGGTCTTAAAAGATCTTGTACTGTTATACTTTGATAGTAAGACTACGCCAAATATTCGTTTGAGGCAATGTTTAAGTTACTTCTTTCCAGCATTTTGCCATTCTTCGTTTGAAAACCAAATGCTAATGCAAGAGGTATTTCAAAAATATCATATCACATGTATTAACTCAATTTATCAGTTTATTGAAATATATATTACCTTACTCTGATTTCCAGATATTCCATCCGACCCTCATCGAATTATTGAAAGAATACAGATACCTTGACAAGAATGACAATGCGGTGCCACCTCTGCAGATTGCGCAACAATTAGTGGATTGGACTAATCCATTTAAAGTCGTGTAAGTCATTCGCTTTAAAGTAATGCATGAAGTTTTATATTTATTTACAACTTGTTTTATAAAGTAAATTAGAGCGAAGCGAAGAGACAATTGATTATGGCTCACATGCAGAACTCGCAATTTCTGTTATAAGGGAACTGTTTTCCGAAACTGATAGTAAGTGTTAAGTACCAACCGATGTAAATTCAAATAAATAATTTATCGTGACTTTTATCTTGGTAGAGGATATAAGGAAATCACTCTGTCAGACTCTTAATAAGCTCCAGATTGATGAATCTGCTGGTGTCGTGAGGTTCAAGAAACTTACCTTTCTTGTTGGCAATTTGAAATCAGTAAGCTTTGCTAAATAATTTTGATTAATAATGGCAAGATACTTCTATGTCTTATTTAGATTTATTTTATAGAAGCGTCCCTTGGTAGATTCAGTAGCCAGAAATGCATTAAATAAATTTGAGAGTGCTTTACTCAATTATTTCGATGATGCACCTGACGCCTTGGACGATGAAGAGCTTGAGCAACTAAAGGAAATTTTTGAATTTGTTGATAATCTTGAAGGTTATTATTTGTTTTATAGAACAAAATTTTTATCAATTTTAGCTAATGGTTTGTTTTTTTAGAAATTCCAGCGAGAACTTCACGGTCACGGTAAGTTATAATTCCTGATTTATTTATCGATTTATATATTTTTTTCATAAATTTTTTCTTTTAATAAAACAAATCTTGCATCTATAGAAAATCAAAAGAGAGTGCTATTGCTTCTTTAAGAAGTTATTCGTCAACACACGAAATTTTAGAAGAGTAATTTTACTAGAATAAACACCGTTACACGATGTCATTTAAATTGTTTATCTCTAAAATCAAATAAAGATAAATTTTGAAGCTTTGATATTTTTTGAACTATATTTTAGGCCACGCAGAATTAATGTTTAATAAAATTTTAGCAAATGATCTAAGCGGTTACTGGTCTAGTCAAGATCTCGCTTTACAATAAGGTACTGTAGAAAGGGTTAAGAAATAAAAATTGGGAAAGAGATAGTAAGAAAAAGGGCTTATAGAAAAAGAAATATCTTATTAACTTAATTATTTTATTTTTTTTGAAAAAAACTAAGTTATCGAAAGTTTATAATTATAGTTTTTTGTAAAGATTATTTTTATAAGAATTTTAATGTTACCAATTTTTAATACAGTACGGGACAGCAAAAAGTCATTTAATTTTTTAGCAGTTGTTTAATGTCTAATAACTTATATTTTAAAAATCTTTTTTACAGATTTATTTTTTATAACTAGCTAATAAATTATTTTTTAGTACTCACGTGTAAGATTGGTAATAGGGTATTTTGGCTTTCTTAAACCGTTTAGTTGTAAATTTGAACGTTAAAATATTTTTTGACCTATTTGCTAAGTTAAATTAAAAATATATAACAAGTTAGTTTATTAAATAATTTTTATTTTATGAAAAATTTTTAATGATATTTTAAGGGTAGTGTTTGTAGATTATTTTTCATATAATCTAGATAGTATAATAGATTTTTATATAGTAAATTAAAATGTTACTAATAAAATTTTTTTATTTTTTAATTAAGTTTTATTAAAATTTAATAATATGAGGGTGTGTCAACAGAAATCAAGCAAATCGGTAAAAACCTAATTTGGAGATAATCCAGTTTTTGAATCATATAGTAAATATGTGTCAACAGAAATCAAAGATAATTTGCTTGATTTCTGTTGACACAAAAAAACCCATCAACATTATTACTCAAAAATAAAGTCTATCTTATTGGGCAAAAAACAAATTTGTTCTACTTACAAAGATTTTTACGCACTAATTCTTTATTAAGTTCTACACCTTTATGTTACTACTAGTTAGAATCAATCACAAACTACGTTCAGATTTTATTATTACTGTATGTCATAAGTTTCGAAATACCAATTGGTTAAGTTCGATTTTATGTATAAATTGAAAGCTATAATAAGTTCAAAGGGCTTCAAGAAAAAATATTTTTTTCTCTGATATTTTTTTCATACAGTATTTCTGTTACTAATTTTCGATTTTTTTTATTTAATTACTAGAATGCTATAACATTCATATCTGATAAAAAAAGCAATTATATTTGGAAATAAAAATAAATCTGTCATTATGTATGTTATATTGTTATAAAAAAATCTTTTTTATTTTTTTTTTTTAAATGTTAAGGTGAGTACATGCGACCCAGGATTTTACTGATAGTATAAGTTGGCCAGCGCCTGTACATGTACAGATGTAAAGGCAATTACAGAAAGAGTATACAACTAGCCACTTGTACAACTTTAGTTATTGTCTAATTTAAGTAGTCCACCTAAAGGTTCTATACTAGTTGCTATACCTAGAACCCACTTATAGATTCTCTATTTAAACACTCCGATCCTGCATCCACCACACCTTACTAGTGATTTCAGTAAACTGGTAAAGATATGTCATGGTCACTAAGTCATGTTTAACTTTGTATTAAACCTACCAATGCATTCTGTATTTCATACTTATAGCTCACCTGGTCATGCTTTGGCCTAAACCATCACTTGCAGTCAGGATTAACCATTAAACTATTTTTACCTTTGTAAGGTTTACCTAAAACCTTGGTACTCATCTTTCTGACATTCTCTCTATTATTTCCTACTAACTGCTATTCAGGATCAACAGGACTCACTGGACTTTCAATCCAGATGGCCTAGTATAATATATCTTAGTATCTTTTTCCTTCAGCAATTCTAGCAGCCTGGTTGGTCATATGCTCCTCTACACATCTTGCTATTCAGTTTATCTGCCTATCCCTTTGAGAGTGTTTTATAGGCTTCCATTAGTCTGACAGCACGTTGAAAGTTTTGTGCTATCTCTTTATTTGGGATTTTCAAGTAGATTTTCAACTCTTCAGTTCGTTTGCTTTCTTTGCCTGATGGAAAAAACTTTTTTTTATTTATTAAAATTGTTTGTATTTTATATATTTTATATTATTTGTTAGTTTATTTATATTATAACATTATATTAGAGTGTTCAGAAATTTGCAATAACAGAATCTGTACAGAATTCTGCTTTTGGCACTGTTTTGCTTACTCAAGCAAAAAAGTTAAAAAATCTGTTTAAGCAGAATCTGCAGAATGTTTCTAATAAATAATTGTTAGATCAAATTTACTAAAGTAAAATTGAAGTCAATATAAACCTTCTTTAATGTTTTTATATTGTTAAAGTTTTAAATATTTAATAAAAAAAAAATGATTATTGAAAGCAATTAAATAAAAGGACTATATTTTATATCTAAATATCAACAAGAATTTTATATTAATAGCACTTTATTAATATGCTATTTTTGTTATGTAGTTGTAAATTACAAAAAATAATTCATACTTAATGATCATCTTATTTCATCTAAACGTAAAATTGTAAAAGAAAATAATGATGTTACTATAACAAATAATTCTGCATAAAATACTATTATTATATAAATATTCAAAAGAGAGCAAATAAAAATAGATTTTGTTCAAATTTTAATAACTACAGATATATCTCTTAAAAAAGTAAATAAATTAAAAGAATTTTTTATAAAATATTACAAATTAGATAAATATATTTATTATTATTATATAAATATATAAATTAATATTATTAAAATATCTTTAGAATAAAAAAAAAAAAAAAAAAAAATATCTTTAGAATCGATAGCATAGTGATTATGCTCTAAGGTCACAAATCACAAGGTTGCCTGTTCAAATCCTAGTGACAGCAATTGTAAAGATATATTTCCAAAAATAGAGAACTGCAACATCATAGAACCAGAGACCAGAGACATCTATAGATAAACTTATTTTTGGAAATAACAAATAATCTATAATTGAAAAGTCACATGGTGATAAATATAAATTAGAGCCTGATTTAGAATAACTGAAGTCATAAGATGTAATGTGAAGCTGAAAGTCTGATAATAAGAGATACTATATAAACTTATGATAACAGCTGGTTCTTAATAGAGCCTAGTAAAGTCTTTTAGTTTCAGCAGAGATTAGTATAACTGTTACTCTTAAAAAGTTTAAAAATATAGATCAGAGAAGATCGAGATTTAGAAAAACATGAATATGAAGAACAATAGTTTGAAATATAAAGAACAAAGAAAAATCTTAGAAGTGTGGTGACCTAGTGAAGTGGTTAGGTTGTCAACCCTCCAAGTGGTAGGTTGGGTGTTCAAATCCCATCGACGGCGAAAATTT